CAAGGACCATGGTAAACCTTTCATTGATTGTGTAAAATAACGCAAACAAAAATTGCTACTGGGAAGTGCTTTACTCAATTGCCAACATGGCCACTGGCGTGTATAGGACCGAAAAATACAGCAGATCTAGTCACTGATCTCCTACTGAGCATCAACAAACACTTTGCTAATTGGCTTTAGGTGTGTCCCTTAGTCTGGCAGTAGGGACAATGTAGATGGCTCTTGGTGAGAGGACAGTTGGGCTTGATCTTTTCCTGGAGGAAAAACAGATCCCTGTCATGTGTTTTCCTGTACTTCATAAATTGGACTTGTAAAACACTCATTTGTCCTTCCTGTGTTTATATCCCTTAGATCCACTCTCCCATAGTTCTTAGTTATTTCTGGAAATGTCAGCTTCCTTATTTACACTGTGATGGCTCCACCAGCCTTTCTATCACTGCACCTGTGCCCAGAAGACTATGTCTTGGTCCCACAGATGCCTCAGGTTCTCCCTTGTTGACACCTTTCCCACATGTGGACAAAAACTTCCCAACTTGGCCCCAACTCACATTTGATTTTCCGAACTTTTTGCCAACCCTCCCTATGCATTAGTGTATGAGCTGTGCTCACGTTGAAAGTAACACCAAAAATCCCTGTTGTGTGTCTAACACTGCTGCATCGTATCAACAAAGACGGAACCACTATCACGTTGTATTCCTCTTTAATTTGCTCTTGAGGTCTGTCTTTGCAGAGTGGCCATAAACCCTAACACTGCTTTAGTGGGGGTCCAGGGAATCTTTTTTAGAGGCAGGGTCCCACTATGTTGCCCAGGCTGGTCTCAAGCTCCTGGGCTCAAGCAATCCTCCCACTTTGGCCTCTGAAAGTGCTGAGATTATAGGCCTGAGCCCGTGCACCTGTCCTGTCTGGGGAATTTGGTCATGGACGTTTACACATGCTACTTTTTTATCCAGGTGGATGGCCCAATGCCTAAGTGTCTGACATGAGACCAAGTGTCCCTCTCACAGGAAACTTGTTTATGTTGGCAGATGCTCTTCTGCCTCTTGTTTGACCTGTATCCAGTTCATTTCTGCCAAGATAGCCAATCTAGGAGAGCCCTGACCAAGAGAAAAGTTAGGCTCAAGTGTGCCAGTACAATGGACAGAGGAGGCAACAACAAAAACCCATGAAACAGCAGAAGCATTTTCTTACAGCACCAAAGATGAGAGAAGAGGGGTACCAATGAGGGCCAGTGGAAAGGTCACAGGGACAACATGCTCAACCAACAGGGCCAGAGAGAAAGAGGAACCCATGGGCTGAGGCCTTTGTTGGGGTCCAGGGTGTTGTTACCCAAGCAGGTTTCCTTCAGAGGTTTCTAGGTGGTGGGTTTAGAGCAAGCAGGCATGCATCCCATGGGGTAATGCTATGACTCAGAGGTGGTCACTGCAGCATATTTGTGCAATCTGTGTGGCATGTGGGGTCAGTGGAGCCAGTTGGGCCTGTCTAGTGGGCTGTATCTAGCTGCTCCATGGAGAGGTGGTTACCAGGAGCCAGTTGTATAAGGCAGGTATCTGGATTAAGCACATTCAGAAACTAGGAGTAGGCAGAAAGCTAGAAACTGTGTCCAGGGTGACTAAGCCAGCTTCTGGAATGAGAAAGTTAAACCTACTTTCAAAACGGATGCAGAAATGATATGATAGGAATTCACTACATCCATGGTCAGAACTAAGTGTACTTTTTAGTTCATTTAGTTTACATGAAATCTACTTATATTAGGATACAAATATGCATAGTTATGTGACAACCACCACACTCAAGACACAGAACTCTCTTATCTTCAGTGATTCTTATGTGCTGCCCCATTTTAGTCAACCTCTCCCTCATCCTTAGAGCCTAGAAACCACAGATCTATTTTCTGTTCTTATAATTCTGCCTTTTCCAAAATATCATATAGAAGAATTTTTTTTTTTACATAGGCTCCTTTCACTTGGATGAATGCTCTTGAAATTCGCCCATGTTGTTGCATGTATCAGTAGTTCCTGCATTTAATAGCAGAGTTGTATTTCTTTGCATGGATGTACTATATTTTGTTTATCCCTTTATCTATTGAAGGACATTTAGGTTGTTTCTACGTTGTGGTAGTTAGGAATAAAGCTGCTAGAAATCTTTGTTTACAATTTTTTTTGAGATGGTCTTGCTCTGTTGCTCAAGCTGGAGTGCCATGGTGTGATCATAACTTATTACAGCCTTGATCTCCTGAGCTCAAGCCATCCTCCCAGCTCTGCCTCCTGAGTAGTTGGGACTACAGGTGCACACCACTACACTTGGTGTTTTTTTTTTGGTCTCACTATTTTGCCCAGGCTGATCTCAAACTCCTGGCCACAAATGATATTATTTTGAATATGGATGTCTAGTGACTTCAGCACTATTTGTTGAAGAAGCTGGTTTCTCCATTGAACTACCTTTTGTATGTTTGTGATCATGTATATGTGGATTTGTTTATGGATTCTCTATTCCGATCCTCTATTCTAATTTTGTCTAAAATCGCACACTCTTGATTACTGTGGCTTTATTAGAAGCTTTGAAATCAGATAGCATAAGCCTCCTTCAACCTGGTTCTTTTTCAGAACTGTTTTGTCATTACTTTGCCTTTCCATATCAATTTTCTATAAAATGTCTTGCTGTGATTTTGATTGAAATTGCATTGAAATGATAGTGTAAGAAGAACTGACCTCTTAACAAGACTGAGTTTTTCTTTCTTTTTTTTTTCTTTTGAGACAGAGTCTCATTAGGTCACCCAGACTAGGGTGCAATGATGCAATCTTGGCTCACTGCAACCTCTGCCTCCTGAGTTCAAGTGATTCTCCTGCCTGAACCTCCTGAGTAGCTGGGATTATAAGCATGAGCCACCACACCTGGCTAATTTTTGTATTTCCTTATATTTAATCACCTACCAAATCTTATACCAGAGCACACTCCCCTTATAAAGGGAAGGCTGGCTGATGGCGGTCTAGCTGGATGGGCTAGGCCTGGGGGCGGGGAAAGCCGGAAAAATGTCAGGGCCTTGCACGCTCCCCCCGACTCCTGCGTTTACCAAGACCATCGCGTTTGGAGTGGAGTCCTTCATCTTCCGCTGCAAGGGGTCAGATGACTGGCGGTGTATGTATTTTCGTCTTTCCTGGGTGGGCCTGCAGCTAAGAAGGGAAATGCTGGCGGTTAAAGACCAGAGTGAGGCTCTGTCACTATGGGAACCGAGGACGCTGGGGTTCGCGCCCTCCTATTGGGGCTGAGTTGTTGAGTATGCGCAGTTTTCATGTCACGTTGGTCACGCCCCCAGCTGCGTTGCTCGCTCGCTCTCGGGTTCAGCTCGAAAAGCGGAGACCGAAGAAATAGATGGTGGAGAATACAAAATCCTTTCTCATGAGAAACTCACCATGTGGTTGAAGAGATTAAATAAAATAATTTCACTGTTTTTTTTTAAGTGTCATTAATAACAGAGGAGTGCAAATACAGACAGCACCCTCTGAAGGGTAAATAATTTACCAGTGGAATGTGTAGAAATAGTAGATACTGTGGGGCACCTGGATCGGACTTCCAGACTAAAGAATGTGTTCCTCCAGTTGCAGGGAGTGTTGCTAGCAGAAAGCTTTCAATCGCAAGTCCTCTTCTGAGTTGCCTAAGCCAAAGAGAGTTACTGAAGGTCACGTTCCTTTCCTGGACAGTTCACATCCAATGATGCATCAGTGACATGGGGTATAAAGCCTTCCCTGATTGCCTCAATCCCGGGCAATTCTAGCAAGTTGTCCCAGCTTCAGAGCTCCATGTGCTGGGTCGTGGATTTCACTGAGACTCATGGCAGTTCAATATCTCACTCTGCCCAATTCTGCTTTCTTCCACTCTGTATGTTTTTCTATCGGTGCTGATTTCATGAACAAAAATGAGAAGTTTTCGGCTGTGCAGCTATTTTTATTTTTGTTAATCCTTTCTTTTTTTTAAACAGAAAGTGGTACCTTTGGTCAGTTTTAAGCCCTTGAAAAAAAATTTTTTTTTCACTCTGGTTACTAAGGAAAAGTCTGCATTTCAATCATTGTACCCCCATACATATTGTTTTCCTTCTGCTGCTTTCAGTAATTTTCCATTACCTTTGGTTTTGGTGGTTTAATTATCATATGTTTAGGTATGGTTTTCTTTTTTTAGTCTATCTTTGAACCCATTTGGGGTTCATTGAGCTTCTTGAATATGTAAACTTTTATGTCTTTCAATAAATTTGAGACATTCTAGCCATTTTTTTCCAAATATATTTTTTGTGCACTAATCTCATTTTCTTCTTCTGAGATCCCAATTACATAGAAGTTGAACTTTTCATTTATTTATTTATTTACAGGGTCTCTCTCTGTTGCCCAGGCTGGAGTACAGTGGTGCCATCAAGGCTCATTTCAGCCTTGAGCTCCTGGGCTCAAGCGATCCTCCTACCTTAGCCTCCTGGGTAGCTGAGACTACAGGTACACCCTATCATGCTTGGCTAATTTTTTTTATTTTTTAATTTTTGTAGAGACAGGGTCTCACTATGTTGCCCAGGCTGGTCTTGAATTCCTGAGCTCGTGATTTTCCCACCTTGGTATCACAAAGTGCTGGGATTATGGGTGTGAGCTATCATCATGCCTGGTCAACTTGGACTTTGAAAAAAGTTTTCAAAGCTCTGTTCACTGCTTTTCTCTTTTCTTTTCTTTTTTTCTTTTTTCTTTCTTTTTCTTCTTCCCTTTTCCTTCCTTCCTTCCCTCCCTCCCTTCCTCCTTTCTTCATTCTTTCCTTCCTTCCTCTCTCTCTCTCTCATTTTCTTTCAAAGATAGAGACAGGATCTTGCTACATTGCCCAGGCTGGTGCTGAATTTTTCTAGGCTCAAGTGATCCTCCCACCTCAACCTTCCAAGTAGTTGGGACTACAGGCGTGCCACTGTGCCTGGCTTAATTGCTTTTCAATCTTCTTTTCTCAGTGTTTCAGATCATATAATTTCTGTTGACCTATCTTTAACTTCTCCAACTTATTCCTCTGTCATCTCTATTCTGCTATTGAGCTAATCCAGTGACTCAGTGTATTAGTCCATACTCACGCTACTGATAAAGGCATACCTGAGACTGGGAAGAAAAAGAGGTTTAATTGGACTTACGGTTCCACATAACTGGGAAGGGCTCAGAATCATGGTAGGAGGTGAAAGGCACTTCTTACATGGTGGCAGCAAGAGAAAATGAAGAAAAAGCAAAAGTGGAATCCCCTGATAAACCCATCAGATCTCATGAGACTTACTTGGTATCACAGGAATAGCATGGGAAAGACCAGCCCCCATGATTCAATTACCTCCCCTGGGTCCCTCCCACAATACTTGGGAATTCTGGGAGATACAATTCAAGTTGAGATTTGGGTGGGAACACAGCCAAACCATATCACTCAGTTTTATGTTAATTAAGTTTTTTTATTTTTCAATTATAAAATTTCTATTTGGGCCTTTTTCATCTGTGGAGAATTTCTGATTTTCCATTCATTTCAAGAGCGTTCACCTTTACCTTGTGGAAGATGGTTATATGGCTGCCAAAGTCTTGTATGACAATGCCAGTGCTTGATTTTTTTTGTGGTTGGCACAGAGAAAGGTTAGTAAGAACTTTTTAGAAAAGTCAAATTTGTGTGACTCTGTTTGTAAGTATAACTTGAAGATGATGATAATAATTATCATATGAGAAATTTATAACTGTGTAGTGCTCCATAGTTGCTAAGTACTTACACATATAAAATCTTATTTGACCCTCACAAGTGCCTTATCAGGAAAACAGAAGAAAGGTTATATTATCCATTTTCAGTTTAAGCAGTTGATATTTAGGAGCCTAAGTCCTTTGCCAGGCTATGTAGCCAGTAGTAATAAAGTTAGCCTTGGACTGAAGTTAGGGCATAGACTCAGGGAACCTCAGGATGGGAGAAATTAGATGAAAAAGCTAATAGAGGCCATAGCATTGACTGGGCATGGTGAAGACCAGGGTTCTGAAAGCTGAGGGTCACAGTGGACCTGGGTCAGGACATAGATTTAAAAATGCAATTAAACTCTCAGGTTTAGTATTCTAGGCGTGGGAACAGACAATGCAGAGCAAGGAACTAAGAATGACACCTGAGCACAAGTGGGAACCACAGGAGCAGGAGAGGGCAACACAGATCTACCAAAGACCTCTAGGACAGAGACTTTCAAGGTACTTTTTGCCAGCGGTAAGACTGAAGCTATTATCTAGAATTCAACTACAAAATCGCACTTTGGTTCTTTCATGCTAACTTGAGGTTAAACACAGAACTCTAGAGCACAGATACAATCAATATCTGTGTGTGTTGGGGCTCCCTAAGACCAGCTCCAGTTTTTATGATTTACCAGAAGGGCACACATGACTTAGCATACAGTCATAATCATAGCTAAGATTTACTGCAATGAAAAGATACAAGGCAAAATGAGCAAATGTAAAAGGCACATGAGGCAAAGTCCAAAGGACCACAGGCACAAGTTTCCAAGAGTTCTTTCCCAGTGGAGTTGCACAAGACTTATTTACTTCCTATAGCAACAAGTGTGACAACGTGTGATATGTTATTTATCGTGGTGTCACTAGAGACTAGTCCCCAAAGCTTTTACTGGGAGCTGGTCATATAGGCATTTTCTGTCTACCATGTGCCATGATTCCAGATACCCAGATGGAAAGCAGTTGTTCAGCATAAACCATACTGTCCACACTGTAGGCACAGTGAGTCACCTTTATCATTTAGGGAAAGTGTTTTATTTTTTTAGAGGCAGGGTCTTGCTCTGTCACCCAGACTGGAGCATAGGGGTTTTATCAGAACTCACTGCAGCCTTAAATTCCCAGACTCAAGCAATCCTCCTGCCTCAGCCTCATAGTAGCTAGGACTACAGGGGTGTGTGTGTGTGTGTGTGTGTGTGTGTGTGTGTGTGTGTGTGTGTTTTGAGATGGAGTTTCAGTCTGTTGCCCAGGCTGGAGTGCAGGGGGATAATCTCGGCTCACTGCAACCTCTGCCTCCCTGGTTGAAGCAATTCTCCTGCCTCAGCCTCCTGTATAGCTGGGATTTCAGGTGTGTGTGCCACCATGCCCGGCTAATTTTGTATTTTTAGTAGAGTCAGGGTTTCACCATGTTGGTTAGGCTGGTGTTGAACTCCTGACCTCGTGATCCGCCCACCTTGGCCTACCAAAGTGCTGGGATTACTGGCGTGAGCCACCACACCTGGCCCACACCTAGCTAATTTAGAAAATATTTTTGTAGAGACAGAGTTTTGCTATGTTGTCTAGAATAGATTCGAACTTCTGACCTCAAGCGATCCTCCTGCCTCAGCCTCCCAAGGTGGTAAGATTACAAGCATGAGCCAGTGTGCCCAACCAAAGGGAAGTTTTATTTCAGTGTAGGTACCTGTTTACCAGCCAAGTTCCCAGATGTCAGCCAATGGCCAACTTTGCAAACAGCTTTCTAAGATTAGCAGTCTCAGGCCTGCTTTGTTAGTTCCTTTCTGCACATTGTATCATATACTGATACATATATTTTTACCAGCATATAAAGGTACAACTGATGTGTACCCACTCTTAAGGCTGTTTTATTAGCATTTCCAAATTCTTTTTAATAGTCTCACTTTTGTATTCTCTCAGTTGCTTTCTTCTTATATTTTAGTTTTTCCTCTCTCATTCTATCTTCTTGAAACCATCCTCATAATAACATGCCAGGTTCTGGGCTGAAGGGCAGTCATGCATTGATCAGGCTACACTTTGGCCCACTTCGCTGTAATTGCTTACTAACCGAAAGTCACATAGGCCAGAACAGACCATGAACTTCCTCACCGTTCCTATAGATAGCATCTTTAGTGTTAGAAGTCTAAAACTTTCCGTTAAAGATGTTTTTCAGATTCTTCTTTTTCTTTCTTTTTTTTTTTTTTTTTTTGAGATGGAGTCTTGCTCTGTGGCCCAGGTTGGAGTGCAGTGGTGCAATCTTGGCTCACTGCAACCTCTGCCTCCCAGGTTCAAGCAAGCGTCCTGCCTCAGCCTCCGGAGTAGTTGGGACTACAGGCACCCGTCATGACCCCAGGCTAATCTGCATATTTTTAGTAGAGATGGGGTTTCACCATATTGGCCAAGCTGATCTCAAACTCTTGACCTTGTGATCCGCTCTCCTCGGCTTCCCAAAGTGCTGAGATTACAGGCGTGAGCCACCACACTCGGCGAGATTCTGAATTCATTTTAAACATTTTTATTATTATTATTTTTGAGACAGAGTCTTGCTCTGTTGCCCAGGCTGGACTGCAGTTGCGTGATCTTGTCTCGCTGCAACCTCTGCCTCCCGGGTTCAAGTGATTATCCTGCCTCAGCATCCTGAGTAGCTGGGATTACAGGCGTGTGCCACCATGCCCAGCTAATTTTTGTATTTTTAGTAGAGACAGGGTTTCAGCATGTTGGCCAGGATGGTCTCTATCTCCTGACCTCATGATCTGCCCTCCTCAGCCTCCCAAAGTGCTGGGATTACAGACATGAGCCACCACACCTGGCCAAAAATTTTATTATTATTATTTTTAGAGACAAGGTGTTGCTCTGTCACTCAGGATGGAGTACAGTGGCATGATCACAGTTCACTGCATACTCTAAACTCCTGGGCTTAAGTGGTCCTCCCATCTCAGCCTCCCAAGTAGCTGGGACTACAGGTGCTTACCACCACATGCAGCTAACTTTATTTTTATTTTTGTAGGAATAGAGTCTTGTTCTGTTGGCCAGGCTGGTCTTGAACTCCCAGCTTCAAGAGATCCTCTTTCCTTGACCTCTCAAAGTGCTGGAATTACAAGCGTTAGCCGCTATGCCTGGCCAGATCCTGAATTCTAGCAGGACAGCTGATGCTCACCAGTCTGAAGACCTCCACAGGAGAACTGACTTAAGGCAAGGCTGCAGTTTCTTCATCTCCACATCCAATGACTTCACCCTTCATTCTTCAACCAATCAATGATCCCTATATCTTGGCCCACTAACCATCCAAACCCCTTAAAATCCCTAGATCCTAAACTCCTTGAGGAGCTGGATTTGAGGTTTCCTCTAGTCTCCTTGTTTGGCTGCCTTGTGATTAAACCTCTTTCTCTGCTGCAATTCTTGGTGTCTTTGTGTATTGACTTAACACACATTGGACACTTCTCCAAAAACTAAAAATAGAACTAACGATTTGATTCAGCAGTCCCACTACTGGGCATCTACTCAAAGGAAAAGAAATCATTCTATCGAAAAGACACCTGCACTCACATTTACTGCAGCACTACTCAAAATAGCAAAGTCTATAAGCAGATTTGTATTACAAATATATGAAGTTTTATCTTATAATAGAAAGTTTTATAGTATAAATATAATTATGTAACCTATATATTGTACTCAATTATAATTGTTTTTGTTTGTGTCACTATGTCTGTGTTGTAAAAATAACCAAACAGGAATAGTAGGTAGAAAGTGTATGCAGATAATTTTGTCTAACAATTTTGTCTTTCATTTTTGTCCAACAAGTGTGCATGTTTACCTTTTGCCACTGTACTGCCTGCCTCAGAGGGCTGACCTTTGTGGAATGTTTCATGAGTAGCCCTTGACTTTTGGCTTACAGCTGGTCCAGTCACTGGGGAGGATCAGCAGGAGACCTAGAGACTGGGAGGTGAATGAGGGAGGGCGGTTAGCATCCCAGATCTTTCCCCGTCAATTCTCTATGGGTTACCAAGTGCTCTAGCAAATTTTGCAGCTCCTCTCAGAGGGCCCTCTCACATATGGCTGTTCTAAATAGGTTTCCTTAAACTTTGCCTTTCAGGCTAGATGTAGTAATAGCTCCCTGGTGTTGCAAACTCTAGGGAACCTACTATTGTTTGTTGCTTTCCCTAAATACTATCTACACATTTTGCTAGAATTCTGAATTATATATATATATATACATATATACACACACACATGTACATATATACTCATTTTTCTTCGAATGGATTAACTCATGCTTTCAAGTATTATAAATCTCTGATTACTAAATATTGGAGAAATTTCCTACTGTAAAGCTCCTACATTGATTCATCTATATTGTTTAAATAAGAGGCCAATGC